CTTAAAAGCCTACCAAGATCAGCTTCCCGGCAAATTAAACGGCAGTTAAATCCCATTATCTTGGAAACTTCTATTTATTACTGAGTTTTCAAAAACAGGCTCTTGCTAAACAGCACGCAAGCAATAAGCCACACAAACACACTTCAACCAGCGGTTCCAGGACCTGCACTGTGTTATATTTATAGAAGGCAATAAGAATTGTTCGGCCGAACACAGTGTCCGCACGGTCTAAGGCATGAACACTTTTCGCCCTCTCCAACGCTGGTATCGTGAGTTCGAATCCCACTCGAGGCATAGATGCTTGTGCGCGTTTGTTTGTATTGTTCTGTGTGTAGGCAGCGGCCTTGCGAAGGGCTGATCCCCTGTCCAAGGAGTCCTATCGACTGTGTATAGGATTAAGAAATTGAAAAAGCGGCCAAGGTCCAACAAATAACTGTAATGCCATCCATAGACAATACGTACAAGTGGTTTTGCAACTTTGGTATGTCTACCTCAAACATTCTGTAGGAGCGTAATCATGAGATGCTGACGCAAATCGTTACATCACTATCAGTACGTTACCAGATTCTATTTTCAACATCTGATATGAAGGAAAATCGTTGGTCCCAAGGGGACCACTGAGCCAAATTCAGGACATTTCCCGCCCAACAGTAGTCTCTAACGCCTCTGGTAGATGGGGGAAGCATCGAGATACCGCTGAGCCAGTAGAGGCCGAACTCGCTGGCTGAGTCGGGACTGATGGCACGCACCAGTACCGGTAGGGAATAGAGACTGGTAGAATATCATAGGGGGACGCACAATGGACCAACAGATGGTCTAAGTGCATGGGGAAACCCACCCTCTCCAATACAATACAATAAAAAACTGAACAAACGGGACTTTTCTTCCGTAAAGTTGGCGCAACAAGGTACGGCGTGCCCTGGGCTAGTTTACGTCGTACTTCAAGATCTAGTAGTGCCGATAACTTATCTAAAAATGCATAGCCAAGCGCCATGTTGTATCTTGTCAGCAGCCATATTATAAAGTGACGGACCGAAGGCTGACAGATGAATAATGAACTGCGAGAGATTTGGAAGGAGGCGGTATTGGTCTAATCGAGATAGCACCCCAGCATCTGACTCGAAAGCCTGAGGCGAAGCACGAAAAACATGAGTCAGGATAACCGGTGAGTCACACCAGATTTGAATCCAGGCCATCCCGAATAAGAATTATCCGTACAACATTCACAGAAAATCAACGGAAATTTCCTTATAGTACTTGTGGATCTATACATCCACTCCCCCATCCGCCTTCATGATGCAGTTAAGCGCAGGGACAATTTTACCTTTTACCTTTCATTACAGTACACGTACTGCAGCATTGGCATGGCAACGCTTAAGGTCGAGACAAGCAGCTCGTAGTGTGATACGACGCCGTACAGGCAACGTTCACGTCACGAAGACGCAAGCGAAAGCAGACACACTCTTATCCTTGGCACTATATGGCGAGGGGAGATCAGATTCACGTCCCGGCCGATTTACCTTCAAACAAAACAGCCCCCCCCCCTCAGTTAATCACTGGATGGGGGGCTGGGTGGGGACAACAGCCGGTCTGGACGCTAAGAATATCAAGTACTTTAATGCTGTGACATACTACCACAAATTCCGGCGGCAGCAGAAGAAGCAGAATAGTCCACTGTTAGATAACGGTTCCCTAAAAGTCGCTAGGCACGTTTCGTAGCAACGAACAAACACAGAATATAACAGAGGATCTGCCTGAGATGGTGATTTATATTCGGTACGCCTCGAAGTTAAAGAGGAGACGGTTTGTAGAACAGGCAGAGAAAGAATTAGAAAATTACGATTAGAGAATTGGACTTGGGAGTTATGTTCAATTCATTATGAGTCGTGATTCGGCATCCTGAAGAGAGCTCGGAGTTCTGTAGTTCGGTGTTCGGCTCTGAAGTGTTTACCAGCGGACACCGGAAGCAGAAGAAGTGACCGACGCGTAAATCAGAACCAAGTCAGTCACGCAGAAGAGAAGACACTCGTAGTCCAGGAAGGAAAGGAGCGAGTCTTAGGCAGCCGTTAATTGTGAGCTGTTATAATTGGTTGTAATTGTAATAGGAGTGCCAATAAATCCAACCCAGAACACGTTATTAGTCACGGAACGCCGGACATGTGGAAATATGGTCCTGGCATGAGACTTACTATAAAGGGGCCCATACACGTACAAGTCTGGCTCGCGAGTCCGGCTCGGCGAGCTAGACTCGGGAGCCGGGCTAGAATTAATTTCACCACAAACGCATGAGCTGAGTTTCAACTTTGCAACCCACTCACGGACGACTTTGGCTCACTGGAACCGGAGCCGAGTCGGACTCGCGAGCCAGACTCGTACGTGTATGGGTCACTTAACAGTCTCTAGCAGTGCTGGACTACAGGGCATTAAACACAACTGACAGCTTGCAGATATCATTAACAGTGATCCCGGAAGGGGCGAGACAAATGTACGCCAAGACATTTATTAAAAGGTCCATTTCTTTAATCAAAGAAACGCCTGACGTGTGACCGAAAAAAATTGAGAATGTGCACTTTTATCCGGCTCCGCCGTACGTGAAAGAGAGTGAGAGAGAGAAAAATTCAATTCCACTACTGGGTGGGGGGGAAGGAAGCCGGGGAGGGGGGTAAAACGACAAAAGTAAAGCAATCCTTACGAGCCTATAAAAGTTACTAAACTCAAAACATCATAAAAATGCCGTAAAGCTGTACCAACTACTGAGACGACGATAATGTCGACCGTGGCGGCCTCTTCACGAGAAAAAACAGTACTACGGCTCTATATCCTTGTGTATAAACTCTTTACCGCGCATTTAGAGACACGAATGGGGCCTGTCCTGACAGCGCTGGAAGCACGTGCCAATTTAACTGAAGCATTTATATTGCTTCGTATAAAACGTCTTAACATCGGAATAATTGTTTTACAAGCAACGAGATCCGCTGCACAAACAAAAGAAATTTGTTTTAAAATAAACAGGACACACATCAACAGAGAGTCTCTAATCATTGTAGACCATTCAGAACTTCAACAGTATCTAGTCTACACGAGAGAACAATAGGTCTCAAAACAAACATTTCAAACTCGAAGCAGACGGTAGTAAACGGGTTGTAAAGAGTTTTGCTGTATAAAAAGAAAACTTGCCGTGTTATTCCGTCAGTGTTCCGAACAAAAGAAACGCTGATTTTTAATTTCTAAGCATCTGACTGACATCTTCGGGGATTCAGTGGCCAGGATGTCATGACTGTAATAACAATAATAATAATACATATTATTTCCCACTATTTCTACTTCCAACAATAGCTTATTAACTGATGATTATAATTATATTGTGACATGACGCCTGAAAGCCAGAAGAGTCCATTGCCAGACAACGATTCGGTAAACACATATCTGAGGTTACGCTCTCAACAGGACTTCCGTTGCTGGGCACGTTACCGTGACAACGAATAGGCACGCAGTGATAGAACTGTTAGAGGTGGTGATCTCTATTCGGTTCTTCCGAGGTTATAAAAGGGAGACACGTAATTGATTCGAGAGTCATTTCGTGTGGAGGCGGGGTCGAATACCTCCACCGTGACCCTGCGAGTCGTAGGAGGCGACGAAAACGGAAGTCTCAAATCTGAGACAGTAAAATGTGGTCGCGAGTCCCAGTATGACTGCGCTGGCGAGGACCAGCAGACGAAACTGAAGTACTTAGACAAAATCTGCCCGAGCGCCACTTTCCCCACCACAAATTTCACATGACCAAACCAGGGCTCGAACATGGGCAGCCGAGATGGGAAGCCAGCGACTAACCGTCTGAGCTGTGCCGCGGCCTACACGTGAATGTTACTTGCATTTAACGCCTCCAGGCAGTGCCACCTTTATGGCCTTAAGAACACATACCGCACTTCAGCTGCACTGCATTCCAGTGCAGAAAAATCTTTGGAATGGCCCAAACATAAACCTGCAATATAATTGCTCCAACACAATTAAGTCATCTTAAAACAAATGCATTACATCTATTTAGTGCTGTGTTTCCGTGCTTCTCTATGCAACGGGAAACTGCAGCACATAGACCTTGATGTCTCTGGAGACATGAGTCCACAGTGCAGGGTAGAGGGCAGAGACACAATACTGTCTGCACTAAAGAGACAGGAAACTGCAGCATATAGATCTCGATGTCTCTGGAGACATGAGTCCACAGTGCAGCGTAGAGGGCAGAGACACAACACTGTCCGCACTAAAGCGACGGGAAACTGCAGCACATAGGCCTTAATGTCTCTGGAGACATAAGAGATCTGTGTAGACATTGCACATACTTTCTTCTATGAGACTGGTCTCAACTACATTACCTTGGAAACGAATTCGAATGTTGTTCGGTAAACTAACGTTAATTAATGAACACCGAAAAATTAAATCCGTACGACTGGTAGGGCCTGTTTCAAAAGGACCTGACACATTTCATTTGGGTCCCTGCCGCGTATTGTTGCTTTCCTGAATATACTGTTTACGTAGTTTTATTTTGGGCCATAATCTCCACTGAAATAATTCGTTCGAGCCGTTTTCGAGAAAATCACCATTTGGGGGGGGGGATCTGGAGGACAACAAACTTTGGGAACAAGAATTTTATTATTCACTGGGAACCCATTCTGACGGATACAATCTTGAAACTGCGTGAATCCGTGAACATCTCCACGTCCACCTTCTCTACCTTCTGTACATGCTCGTTCAGGTGTAACTGAAGGTAAAGGGGGACGGGCGCGACAGAGAATATTAAAGAATGATAATCAGAAGACGTTTCCTCTTGCCGGCCTTGATATTTCCTTCGTCATGGTCCAGCAAAATGGAAGGTTTACTGGGCCGTGCCAATAAACACCTGCCTCAGGTAAGTGATGAAAAACAGCCTCTGTGATTAATTAAAAGCCATGCCAAGTAAGCGTTTTGGGGTATTGGAGGCATAGCTCCACGAATTCATTCATTACCTTAGCATGCATTAGATAGGAAGCTGGTTGTGACGCTACTGAGTAAGAGACCTGAACGTCGATTCTTGATTTCTGTATCTAATTTCACAATCTCAGACGCCATTAGCTTCTGGCACAGGATCCGCCATTAAACAAACGGAGTAGTACCGTCAGGAGCAAACATGGCTGCGGGTGACAGACATTGAAGTGCCCAGTTTGCATTGTAACTAGGTTTTGGAGATGCTTACTCACGTGTGCAGTTCTCAGGACACGTGCAACTCACCTGAAACAAAAACAACAGGTGTCGTTACAAGCAAATCCTTCGGAACTCTTCAGCTTCATGCGACCACGCTTGTTTGAGCTGATGATAATTTCAGAACGTAGCTCCTATTTTTATCAGCAGCGTAAACAAGAGCAGTGACATCAGCTCTGCTGCGTACACACACTGAGGGTGTTGCGGGGATCATCTGTAACCGAAATGGGATGAAGTGACGGGAGGTTGGAGAAAACTGCATAATGAGAAGCTTCATAACTTGTACTCTTCTCCAAGTATAATTATAATGGACAAGTCAATGCGGATGATACGGGAAGGCCATGTAGCATGAATGGGGAGAACAGGAATGCGTACAGGATATTGGTGGGAAAGCCATCCTCCACGAATAACACGCATAAATACTGAATCGTAAATCATCGCTTTATAAGTATACTACACTTCATACATGAACATCAAAATATCATACTCACAGAATAGACACGATACACTGAAACAAAACGGCCCACTGCATAACTTATATTCATGCAACGTTTTAACGTTCGATAATTAATTCCTACGGTAACCAGAATTTGCGTAATGACACTGAAAAATATGACACAAAACTTACCAGTAATGATGGTGTATCCGTGACATAATTTTATAATCTTACAGAGTTTCAGCGAAGGATTCTCTTATACTCTGAAGATGGAGGCAATGAGTTCTACCAGAATGTCATGGTTATGGAAACCTCAAATCCCACAACGTGTGATGTACTTCTCGATTTTCACAGATCCTCAGTGTTCGTGGCACTGAACAGAACGTGATGCTCCCATTGAGGTCCATCAGGGGCAACATAGCGCAGCGATATGTACACACGGTCCGACTTTATGACACATAACATATCGGTCGCGGCAGTTGAGACCCTCTTCAGGAATGAAGTAGGGGCGACGTCATAAAAATCCCAAGCCTCTGCATCACATTCGAAAGAAGAAGAAACAGGGCAAACGGACCGTAAAACTGAACTGCATTGAGTCATAACCCCCACTCCCCCCTTCGCCAGATGCTCACTCGGGTCTCTCTACACGACATAAAGAACTGCCTCTGCTTCCTTCGGGAATAAAGATGGACAAATAATTTTATGAGCATCTGCTTTCCTGTGTCTCACTACTCAGGGTTCCGCATTACCGCGTGTCTTAAAGGCATACCTGGAGCATGTCGCACATTGTACAGACATTAAGCCGAGCAGGTGGCAAGCTGAAGATGGAGGCGATAAGTTCCTCCGAAACGTCTGTTGACCTTCAAAGGTCTAAACGGCGTTATAGGCCTATTCCAGAAGATAGTAGTACTCTTCAAGAAGCTTACGGTTCCTCACCCATTCGATAAATTGCTATCATTTCATGAGAAACGGAAGTTCATTGATGTTTCAACAAGAGCCCGCGTCACAGGTTTCTATCCGAGGATCCTAGTCCACACTCTCCCACCCTACTCCATATAATTCTTTTTAACATTATCCTTCCATATACATACACATCGCACTACTTGTCTCTGTCCTCTGCGGTTGCCTGTCAAAACAGATGGACAAAACACACAAAAAAAAATCCTATGTTTTAAATGCAAGAGGTACGCTGTAACACAGTTGGGTGAGGCACTAGGCTACAAGCCGGGAGCTCGCGGGTTCGTTTCTCGATTAAGTCACTGTATTTTTTAATTGACATAATCCTTCCAACCACCTGTAGTCCTGGGGTCGACTCAGCTTCTAACATAAATGAGTACCAGGAATCTTCCTGGAGGTAAAGGGCGGCCGGCGCCTAAGGCTGACGTAACCGCCATCTGTGAGTCGATTGTCCAGAAAATGTGGGAGCCTCGACGTCTCATATGTCTATGGGCCTCCATAGCCTGTTACTTTAAATGCAAACAGAGGAATACATCTCAGCAATGTGACGCGAGCTTCGAACTCAGGCCTGCAGTCTGTGCGGCTATACGGACGTACGGAAGCATTAAAACGTAATGTCCAAGGAACGGTACTATGGACGGACAATCCGGTATCTAAACCGGGCTTTTGGAAACAAAATGTGTCTCCCGCATAACGCCACGGTGGAGACGACTAAATCTGTTTTGCTGCTGTAGTTTTTGCAGTTAGGGAGAGACAGAACCTGCATCCTCTGCGTAGGAACGACCGAATGATACATAGCGCTCCGCAGAAAAAGAAAAAAAAAAGCCTAACTGCAGGAGACGGGGGGGGGGGGCGGACGAGGGAAGGATTAGCGTACGGGCATGCAGAGCTGTGCGCCGGCCTATGATAAATTACACTGTCCAGGCTTTATTCCGCACAAATTGACCGGCAGTTGCTCATCCTGCAATACGGGTTTCCTATGAAGAGGGGAAGGACACACAGGACACTGTATCCTGTGTCCTGGACCAGGAAACAGTGCAGCAATTGTTTCCGTGTTGCAGGGCGTATGACACTAGATAAGGCCTACATGAAATCGGATGTCACCTGAATTCGGATGGGGGAAAACGTCATGAAAATTAACATCACCTAACCTAACGGCACGGAGATTTCCGTCCCCGGCTGTGTACGTCCGCCTCTGTGGTCTAGAGGTCAGAGTTACTGGCTACAGATCCGGAGGTCCCGGGTTAGATTCCCAGCACTACAAGATTTTCTGAGAAGTACTGGGTCTGAAACGGGGTCCACTAAGTCTCGTGACGATAACTGAGGACCTACTTGAATGGAAAAGTAGGGGCTCCAGGCTAGAAAATCAAAATTAACGGCCGTGGGGGGTCGTTGCGCTGACCACGCGACACCCTCTATCCGCTAGAGTTGGCAGTAACTTCGCCGACAAGCGGCAGTCGCTCGGTCGGTATAGTTCGCTTGCGGACTATAGCCACGGATTATGTTTTTGTTTTGTTTGATTGTGCGGTAGAATCTCGTCCTTGTAGAGACACGAAGCTGAGAATTCGACACTTCACCAAACGTCCTTCTTCAAGTACTGATGCCAGATATGTGAGAACGGAAATTTCTTTTAAATAAAGTCACCTTCAGGAAACTGCTTACAGGGTTCAGTGTCTGTTACAAGTTCAGAGGTTTGCTCAGTTCAATGCAAATTATGAGTATTAAAGAAACAAGGAGTTCTGAGAAGAATTAATCGCCCGCTTTCCTTTGATACAACACGGACTGCCAGGAAAACAATAGAATTAGTGAGAGTGGATACTAAGACACACGGAGCGAGCTGAAATACGTCTCTGGGGTCGACTCAGTCTCTAGCAGAAATGAGTACCAGGAAGATTCCTGGGAGTAATAGGCGGCCGGCGCGTAAGGCTGACAACTTTACCGCCATCTGTGAGCCGACTGTCCAGAAAATGTGGAAGCCTCAACATCTCACAACCCTATGGGCCTCCACGGCCTGTTACACGGATAGCTTTACCTTTTTACCGTCATGAGACAGCCTATAATTCCACATACATTAGACGAAACTTCTTGTGGCGATGACCGTATAATTCGTAGGCTCTACGGGAGGAGAGAGAACAGATTATTAGGCTTCGTTCCTGTAAAAAATATGGGAATATCAAGCATAAGATAAAGAGCTACTGGCCTCTTTCCACCGTTCCTTTCTTTTTAGAGAAGCATGGATGGAAAAGACAAGCGAGTGAGAAGGAAAAAAGTGGAATAGGCAAGAGCAGAGAAAGATGGCCTAAGTTCAGAGGTCGTGAAACAATGCACATTCTTTTTAAGTCCTCCTGAAACCCCCTCACCACCCAGAGCTAAGGCAGTAGGGGAGTAGGTCAAGGGTAGAAAGGAGTCTGCAGTGGGCAGGTCGCGAGTTATGGACCGCCATGTGTCTTCTGCTGCCTCCATCACGGCGTTGGGAACAGACTGACAGGGGAGTGTGCGCTTTTCAAACAGCGGACCGCAACTCTTGGCCCGCGAAAAATCAAATTCCGTTCGCAGTAACTGATTAATAAGAACTAGGCATTTATGTTGGCCATCATCCGTTGTCTTGCCTACTCATTACACCAGAGATAATGGACAGTGTCCAACATGAGCAGGAACCTCACTGAAGCTTGCCATACCCCATCGTAACACGGGTTACTGATACAGGAACTCTGCAGCGGTGCAATTCTCAACACTGGCCTACCTGAAGATAACTGCAGAACAGGGATGAGCCACGCGCTGGACAGCTGATGGTTCGAATACCGGCGGAAGCAAGGTATTTTTAGTTCACTACGTCCGGGCCGGCTCTGGGAGCCATCCAGCCTCCTAATTAATCTGTGCCTGATGATGTACCCCTGGAGGGGGAGGGACGCCACCGGACCGTGAAGCTGACCATTTACCTCTATCTAGTATCGAGGTCAAAAATGATGGAGTATACCTCCACTACCCATACGTCTTCACAGTGTCGTGCTTAATTGATTTAGCACAGGAACAACTTCACCTTTTACGTTACTGTTAACTGCATCCTTCCTATATCCGCCTGCGATGGCTTATGAAAATGGGCCACGGCCAACATGAAAGGCATGATGAAGGGACACTGCTTCTCTAGTCCTTGCTGCCGCTGCCGCTGTCACTGCGACTGACGGTGGTTCGCTCCTTTCATAACAACTGAACTTCTGTGTAAAGAGAGACAACTCAGGGGCGGAGGCATATCAACCGGACACCCCGGTACGCCACTTCCGAGAACGGGAGTTACGCAGACTCTGAGCAATGCTCACTAGCCTGGTTTCCATGAACGAGCGTGTTGATTCACATGGGTGGTTAAGTTTCGTGAACCACTGCAGACAAAATTCAAGGAATTTCGCGATTTCCTTCTTAACTTGATTATCTAGGATCTCCAGAACAAGCTACTTAATTCCTATTAGTTTAAAAAGTTTGTTTCTGACAGTTTCCTGTTGCCGTCGCGGACCCAACAGAGAACACATTAAGATATTTTATCGGTACGTACGAGAGCCACGGCTGTTAGAAAGTAAAGTATGAAGAAGCATGGGGGGGGGGGTGAATGTATAGATCCACGTATTCGTGACAGCTGTTAAAC